TTTTTAAATCGTTTCTTTGTTTTCAGTTCTTTGTTTTTAGTTATTTTATATTTTATATTTTATATTTATTTTTATTTTTATTTTATTTTAATTTTGGTGTTTTAATTGTTATTTTATATCCGTTCAATAAAAATTGAAAAAAATCATATATTTCTTATAACAGATATTTTAAGATAAAATATTAAAAATTAAAATTATTTTTTTTAATTAAAGTTTAAAATTGCTAATGTATTCCATATATATATATATTTTAAAATATCTTAAAAACTTTTTTTTATAAAAAATATATCGATGTAATTTCGAAATTGTTATTAATCTAGTTTTAATTTTTATTTAATAATAAAATTAGCAAAAAGTTCGGTTCAAAAAATGACATCAAATTTTAGATTAATAATATATGATAATCCATCATGGAAAATTACAACTTTAACTTTTTTAAAAGAAAATAAATGTTCCTATTTAATTGGAACTTTTTTCTATTTTAGCAAAATTAAAATTATTTATGCAAAAATATATGAACGTTTCAACAATTATATTCCATTCTATAATTATTTTTTCGATCGAAAAAATAATAAAAATATTTTAATAGTTTCATTTAATCGTTATCAGAAATAAATGATTCTATCCGATTCGAAAAGTAAACTACGGCGCTTTGCAAATATCGTTATCATTTGTTAAAATTTATCAAAAACCTATAAATTAATTTTCGTATGCAAGCCTGTTTTGTTGCATGTAATCCTTCACGTTTACATTTGATAATTTGTTGCATTAATATATTTAGAGACACGTATACATGTATGTATCTATGTATGATGTATGTATCTATGTATGTGTGTGTGTATGTATGTGTGTATGTATGTATGTATCTATTTATCTATCTATCTATCTATTTATCTATCTATTTATCTATCGATCTATCTATCAATCTGTTTATCTATCTATCTAATAATATGTATATCTATCCTCGTATGCTTGCCGTGTGTATATCTGGGATTGTATGCGTGTATAATTGTGTGTGACGTACGTTTTCAAATGATGTACATTTTCAAAAAAAAAGATATCACTAGATCGGTTACGATTACAGTGTGTGTAGGCCAGAAGAGTGCCAAAGTTAACGAACTATTGATGATTTTGTCTATTCAATTATTCAGTTTGATTATAAATTTTTTTTCTTTTAATTTTTTTCTCTCTTTTTTTCGTTTCTTTTTGTTTTTTGAAATACAATCAGTCCCAAAAAATATCTAGCTTCATAAATATTTCATATTTAGTTTTTCATATATGAAGATCATAACAAGATTTGATAAGTCCATTTTGATCCATTTTGATTTTTTTCTGTTTTTGACGTCAACTAGAAGTTAAGAAAAATAGCTCTAAACTGAAAAATTTTATAAATCTCAAGATATGATAATTTTAATTATAGATATGCAGAAAAATTATACAAAAATACCAACTTTAAAATTGCGCTGTTATAAAAATTTAAAAAATGTGATTTATTAAATTTATAATGGTCTCATTGTTTTATAACGATCATTCTGGATTTTATTTTCTCATTTTTAAATGATTAGATTATCATTATAAAATGAAATAATAAATATACACGTCAAAAATTGAATCGAGTTGCTTTTTCTATATTGTTACTTTGATATATTTTTTATATTTTTATATTTTTTGTAAAGTATCGAATGTGGCTGAATACTTTTGGGATTAATTGTTCCATTTTAATTATTTTTTGTGTAATATTCAATTAAAAACAACAAAGAAAGAATGCTATTTTTGTTTTTCTTTCCTTCCTCACGCGGACAAAATCATTGATCGTTCGAATAGTGGTCGTAACACGGTTTCTCTAGAGGTAACTTTCATCAGTTAGATTTATTTATTAATTTTTCGAGAAATTTTATAAGAGAAGAGAAGAAGTTTAATGTATGTAGAAATAAAGGAGTGTAAATATCGAGAAAATCAGAGTATTTTGTTCGCTTCCTGCCAAATGAAATGCCCGTACACCAATGTTAGGCATAAATCGATTAAAATTTTTAATTTGATTTATTGATTGAAGTCTATAATCAAAAAAATTAATTATGGAAAATGTCCATATTGATTTAATTGATTGATTAATTAATTATTAATGAATATAAATAATAATCAAAATAATTAGTAATATAGAACAAATTTTTATAAATAAATATATTGAAATTTATTTTTATTATTATTTAATAATTATTTTATATTTCAAAAATTAGTAAAATATAATTAATATGACAAAAATAATTTTAATTGAATTAATGAAATTTTTAATGAAATCGAATTTTTAATTTAGTTTTATTTAAGAACTAATAACTGTTAATTGATGATTAATTTTTTATTATTATTTAATATTCCATTTTCAAAAATTCAATCAATACAGACAGAATTAACTTGAAATAAAAAAAATTTAATAAAAATTTAATTTAATTAATATAAATTGTACAACATAAAAACTAAATTAATTAAATAATTAAGCGATTAGATTAATCATGAATTTTTTTAATTTTTTTTTAAACAAATATTAATCACATTAAAAATTTTAATTATATTAAAAATCAAATGTTTATTTTAATCTCAATTATCATCAATCTCTAAATTAACGATTAAATCATTTTTAAACATTTTTGACTAAATATTTATTTTAATCATAATTAAGAATTAAATATTTATTTCAGTTGTTGTGCTTTGCATCTTAACCATAGTTGGGATTCCAAAATATATATTTTTTTTTATTTGTAAAATAAATAGCAAAATGTGAGACATTGTAGATATACATACGTAGATATAATATCTTTAAAGAAGGAGCTAGAAATTACATATATTTTGATTACTGAAAATGTAACTTTAAAATATCTATGATGAACTTGATACGTGCAATATTGAAATTCAAACTTTTTATTATCTTCATGTATCTCTATATTTATATTTTCAGTAATCAAATTATAATTACATTTATAATTTTTTATTTTTACATTTTGCGATATATATAATTTGGAAACAAAAAAAATAATTTTGATTTACCATTCTTAAGATGTAATTAGACTAACTGATAGCCAAGTTATAAAACAAAATCCATAAAGAACACAAGATATAACTGCAATTAATAATTCAAAATTTAATTGTAATCATTTATCATTAATACCATTCAATTTTATCATTCAAACTGCCGTGCGTAGATATTATCTCGAGATTTGTTTTTCAGATAAAGTAGCACGCGAAGGCATAGAAGCGGAATCGATACGAGTCAGAAAAGAGTCGCAAGATCCATTAGAACAAAGCTTCACGCCAAGTTTAGCTCGACGATTGAGCAGAAACTTGATCGAACAAACCAGACGCTCATTGACGAGATCGCCATCTATATCGCGTGAAGCACGAGCTCAGTCAGCCGAAAGGGATCTAGTTCCGTTGAATTCTTTGGATACGTCCGATCTCGCAGACCGATCTGTCTCTACCATTTCGGATCAAACCGAATATAAAGATCGGTCGGCCAATCGTCGAGCCATTAGAAGAACAAATAGTTTGTTGGATCCATCCACTGAAAGAGAGAAATCACGAAACTTGGCTCGTCGATCCGTTCTCAATCTCTTCGATGACGATGATGTTGATCATTGTTCCTCTCTGCTCTCAACATTTCCCAGGGAAACTATGGTTCATACTCTGGGTAGATGGTATAAGGAAACGAACGGTAGCCGATCTAATACGGGAAAACTTCGAAAGGACAGTTTTCGTTGTTATCGTACAGAAAAGATTCAAGAAGAAACCGCGGATGATACGTTCACAGACAGAAAGGAGAACAACAATATGGATAACGGTTCAGTGTCAGAGTCCATTTCGGCCTGCGACTCGAACGCAAACCCGTTAGACGCGACATCTAGTTTATCCACTAAGTCGGAATATGAAACGTCACCGACCGAGTCTTCCTCCAATATAATCGACTACAAATCCGTGTATAAGTCGGATCCATCGAGAAACTTCGAGGATAGAATGCTGGCCGCGGAGAATTTGATTAAAGAATCGAAACTAAAGAATCTGAGGTCGGCTGAGAATCTCAGCTACCGAGACACGGACAAATGCGAGAAACGTTCATTGATCTCGATTGGTGAAGCAAGCGGACCTTCGACCGTCTCAAAACGACGAAGCTGTATACCCAGCTTGAGATTGCGATCCGGTTCGTTGACTAGAGAACCGTGCACGGGCATCGATCGTCGGAAATCGTACGCCGACTCGCAGGATGTTGCGAGTCTCGTCGTGCGTGCTCTTGGCCCGGAAAAATCATTGCTGAGCAAGTTTTTCAAAACGAATGGAAACAGATTGGAAAACGACACGAATAACAAAGAAAAAGAAACGGAGAAAGAAAACCAGCAAAAGTCGAAGCAACGTCGGATATCGCGATTCCTGCGTCCAGATTTCTTCGATACCCCCAGAGAGGAAAGTCGGTATGCGAAAGAGAAGGAAGCGCAGAAAGCGGCGGAAAACGAGCGTCGCAAGTCTCGATTTATCCGACGTAAAAATGAGAGTAAAGCAGCGCCACAGGCGACAGGAATAAAAACTACGGCTACAACAACCAGTCGAGAAGGTAGCGTCGATCGAGAAAAGAAACGGGAGAAGGAATTGAAAAATGAGATCAATTTGTTAAGAAGAGATCGAGGATCGCGAGAGAAGGAGGATCCCCACGAAGAGAAAAAAAGTGTGGACTCGTCGGATAAAAATACTCGGAACGGATTTTTGCATTCGTTGGAAAAGAAATTAGAAAGACTTCGGTCCAATGATGAGCAGCAAGAAGAGAAAACAGTAATGGAGAAGGCAGTTTCAACGAACAAAGAAGAAATGGAAAAAGAGATATCTCGGGAACGATCCGCACCTCCTATCGATCATCCGTCTTCAAATCATTCTGACAACATTGCTACGAAAGCGAACAGTGTCGAGGATCTGTCTCGAAAGAAATTAAATCAGACCTCCTCTAAAAGCAAAGTCTCTTCCGTCCTCGGTTTGTTTAAAACCGGGGATACAAATAAAATCATAAATGGAACTCGATCACAGACTGCAATTTTAACGAAGTTGAAGAAAAGTCCGCCAAAATTGGTAAAATCTGATGTTATTTCCAATGAGGATGCTACTGTTCCTGTCACTACCAGCAAAATACCAACTAAACTTTCAAATACTGATTTCAAGATAACGAAGAAGAACGGAGATGCAAAAAAAATGGAAAAGTTGGAAAAGACAGTTTGCTCCTCTATGTCTGAATCTTCAAAGAGACTCTCGTTAAAGGAAGGATCGAAACAAGAGAAAACATCGGCTTGCAAAGAAAAAAGTGCATCCCGTGAAAAAGAATTTGAAGGAGAAAAATTGATGAATCAAGAGATGGAAACTGATACGCGCGAGAAATCGAATAATGACGAGAAAGAATCTGTGGAAAAGAAATTGACAAGCAAAATGAAAAAAACGAATCGATCTTCTTTGGAGAATGGTTCGTCTGTGGAACAGAGCAAATCCGAAGACACGGATAAAAAAACAAAGAAATTGATTAAAAAAACTTCTGAAACTTCAGAAAGTAATGATTCTAATGGTGTAAAGAAAAAAAAAATTGTCCGAGTGGTGAAAAAAGTCGCAAAGAAATCAAACAATGATGCTAGTGCCGATACTGATAAAAATTTGGACGAAAAGGAAAAATCTGGAAAATCACGAATAAAGAAAAAGATTGAGTCAAAAATCGGCACTAGTATCGCGAAGAATGCCATCGACAAGACGAAAGAAAATAGTGGAATAGAAGCAAAGGACAAAACCGGTGGAAAAATTTCAGCTATTGGAGATCGAACTAATTCTGGAGACGAAACAATGGCGACAGAAACAAAAAGTGATCAATCAAAAGGACAGGAATTTCAGCAACGAGTAAATAGAAGCAATTTAAAGCTTGATCTATCTAAAATACCCCAACACTCATTCAGGAATGTCACACCAAAAAAGGATTCGCCGAAATCAGATGCGCCAAAAAATTCTATCGATTCTCCTAAATCAAACGAAGATCTTTCTGGCAAACTAATGGAATGTCTTTCAAAAGTGACACATCACGCCAACATTGCTGGTAATAAGATAATCATAGATAAACCGTTACGCGCGAAAGATGTGGCCGAATTGAAGAAAGAGGTAACTGAATGTGCGAAAATCATCGAGAGCCACGCGGAATCGATGACAGTTAATAATACGGAATCAGAAAATCCTTCAGAGGGAGCACCGATTGAAGAAGAAATAAAAGAGAAAGAATCAAAATCGACAGATTATCCGAATGAACTCTTCTCTCCAATGGATGAACCTGAGAGTTTCGATTCGTGGTCGGTCAGTTCAGCAGAAATGAGTCACGCACGGCCCGACTTGCATTCTCCAACCTCGCCTTCACATTCGCTGTTTAGTCGAAACGACAAGTCGGATAACTCAGAGTCAATAATCGACCGAATACGTAGGCGTAGTTTCTATTCACGATTTAACGATAGGCGAAGACCGTCATTGACAGCTCCTCCTCCAGGCGTCAATCTACCAACCAGTGCCACGCTGCCGAGAAAATTCAGTTTTTCAGGACATCGGGAACAACGAGATCGCAGCAGGTATGGAATAGGATATACAGGATTGGCCACGGTTTCGAAACCCACTCTCAGGCATACGGCAGAGAAAAGTTACGGCTTATACGCTGAAGATGGCGTTGCGATCGGTCGCAATCGCTCCCTTGATAGAGGTATTCGTTATTCAGATGCTGGCTATGTTACCGATCTTAAATCGCCGACCGAATACGTGTCTGTTCTCTCCTCTTCCTATGATCCCGTTAGAAGGTATCTTAGATCACCGACTTTCGACCTCTCCACTTCTAGGTCGAGATATCATAGTGCTGATTTCTCTGCGGATGCAGACGTAATCTACAAACCTTCTCTTTCCGGTTTATCAAATGATTCTGGAATTGACAATCATGTTTACATTGGTTATTCCTCCCTTCCGAGGAAATATGGAATCACAGAACCAAAAACTATCGAATATTATGAGGAACTTCTATCTCCAAATACGACGGATTATTTGCCGGCTAGAAGATCACCAATATCCAACGAGTATTCTAATAAATGCGAGAACGGATATTACAATGGAAATTTGGACACATTTAGTCGTCAATTTGAACAATCGAATATTATGAAAAGAAAACCTAGTTCGGAGAATGCAAGAACATTAGAGGTTTCAGAAAGTGGCGCTTCGAGTTCTCCTATCTCCTGTGATGAACAGTCAACGGAACAAAAAAGGTAATGTTCCTTTCTTTTCTTCTTCTATTTTTTTTTATTTTATTTTTTTTAAAGACATGATTATCCATAATATCATTATGAGACATCAAGACATTATAGAAATAAGTAAATAGATTACAATATATTAATTGTAATAAAATTATTCAAAACATAGAATGTTTTATAATATGTAGAAATAATTTCAGAGATTAAATCTTCTATTATTGAAAATAATAAAAAAAATTTATACAAATATATATATATATATAAATGAAGTATTTTATTAATTTTTTTGTCTTATATTTTTTATCTTAAAAAATTAATTTTATTATGTTAAAGTTTTAATTTTATACATTTCATAAATTATATATAAATTATTACAGATATCATATATTTTTTTTTTAA